TCACCGGTAAACAACAATCAGTGCCTGCTCCGCCTTCCTTACTCAACCCTTTCAATCTGCATTTTGGAAAGGTGTCATGAGCCGGGCGGGGCGCGGGGCGCCGCGGCGTGGCCCCGCTTGGAGAGCCCTGCTGCGGCTGCGGATTGTCCCCAGCGGTCCACGCCCAGCCCGTCTAGACCATGGATGTACCATGGTCTAGACCAGCGGTTCTCAACCTTTCTCGTCTCGCGACCCCAAATTTGAAGCCAAAAATTTCCGCGACCCCCAGGAAAAATTTCGCGACTCCACGGGACCCCTCCTTTAACATGCCACGGCGTCTGATCCGAGGCGGGCATTTTGCTCCCTCAACGGGAAACTGGTCTTTGGACCTTCCTTTAGCATGCCTTTGTTACGGAGTGCAATTATCAGTCTTAGTTTGGGAGCAGTATTGTCTCAAAGTTGGCCAAAACGCTCAGAAATGTCTATGAAAAATCGTGTTTTGGGCTGATTTTAAGCAGCCACAGCGTCTGATCCGAGGCGGGCATTTTGCTCCCTCAACGGGCAGTTGGTCTTTGGACCTTCCTTTAGCATGCCTCTGTTACGGAGTGCGATTATCAGTCTTAGTTTGGGAGCAGTATTGTCTCAAAGTTGGCCGAAACGGTCAGCAGTGTCTTTGAAAAATCGTGTTTTGGGCCGATTTTAAGCAGCCACTGCGTCTGATCCGAGGCGGGCATTTTGCTCCCTCAACGGGCAGTTGGTCTTTGGCCCTTTCCCTTTTAGCATGCCTTTGTTACGGAGTGCAATTATCAGTCTTAGTTTGGGAGCAGTATTGTCTCAAAGTTGGCCAAAACGCTCAGAAATGTCTTTGAAAAATCATGTTTTGGGTCGATTTTAAGCAGCCACTGCGTCTGATCCGAGCCGGGCATTTTGCTCCCTCAACGGGCAATTGTTCTTTGGACCTTCCTTTGGCATGCCTCTGTTACGGAATGCGATTATCAGTCTTAGTTTGGGAGCAGTATTGTCTCAAAGTTGGACAAAACGCAGTCACAACGGTTTTCAAAGACATTTCTGAGCGTTTCGGCCAACTTTGAGACAATACTGCTCCCAAACTAAGACCGATAATCACACTCCGTAACAAAGGCATGCTAAAGGAAGGTCCAAAGACCAATTGCCCGTTGAAGGAGGACGAAATACCGCCTCGGGTCAGACGCAGTGGCTGCTTAAAATCGGCCCAAAACACGATTTTTCAAAGACATTTCTGACCGTTTTGGTAAACTTTGAGACAATACTGCTCCCAAACTAAGACTGATAATCACACTCCGTAACAAAGGCATGCTAAAGGAAGGTTCAAAGACCAATTGCCCGTTGAGGGAGCAAAATGCCCGCCTCGGATCAGACGCAGTGGCTGCTTAAAATCGGCCCAAAACACGACCCCAGCTACCTCGCCGCGACCCCTTAAAATTTTTTCGCGACCCCACTTGGGGTCGCGACCCTAAGGTTGAGGACCACTGGTCTAGACACACGAGCCCCCCCCCCCCCACACACACACACACACGCGCGCGCGCGCGGCCCTGGTGTGACCGCGGTATATTGCTGCCCCCTATATGGTGCCCGAGTGTGAATAAGAAGACATAAATTGTGGCGTGAAGAATGCCCTGGGCCTGTCGCGTCGTGTCGCGCGCTCTGAGTGCGGCTGCACGCTCGTTGTGGTCCTGCGCCCTGGCCGCCCCGTGCACTATGCACTGTATGCACCTGTGTGCGTGCATTGCAGTGCACCAGCGCATTCCACGTGGTGCACGCGTGGCCGGAGCCGTGGCACCGCCAGGGGTTCAAAGCCGAGCTTTTCTTGCCTTTCTTTTGATTGTTGGCTGGGTTTTGTCGCAGAGTCGTGCGGCCGTTCGACGCGCAGGGTGACCCCACACGGCGTTTCTTCCTTCTGCCTCTCTCGCGACAGAGCGACGAGAGCAAGACGAGAGCGCTGTTTAGTTGGCGCACAGTGGGCCAGAAGACCGGTGGAGGCGGCCAAAACTTTGGACGCGTTTTGAGCTCCAGAGTCGCTAAATGGGACTCGAACCGAACGTGTGACCCCACCAATGGATTGCTCTCCGAACGAGGAATCCATTGGTGGGGTACCACGTTCGGTTCGAGGCATGTTTAGCGACTCTTTAGCTCAAAACGCGTGTAGAGTTTTGTCCGCCTCCGCCGGTCTTCTGGCCCACTGTGTGGCGGCGACTCTTGTGCCGCCCCTCGCCTCGCGGTTCCGTGTCCGTGTCGCAAAGCGCGCCAAGGGGCCGGGCGGCCGAGCCGTGCCAGCGCCCACCCTGGCCTGGAGGCGCCTGGGGGCTTTGTTTAATTATTCCATAAGGTTTGGCAGTAGCAGCCAGCTGCCGGGCGGGATGGGCTGGCGGGGACTGGCCTGGTGGGAACCAGGCTAGCGGCCGCAGCGCGGAGCCGCGCAGCACCAGATCTCACAATGTCAGTTCAGTTGCATCTTGCACCGCCCGCACTGGCTGGCACGCCCGACATCGACATCTCACAGTGGGCCAGAAGACCGGCGGAGGCGGCCAAAACTCTGGACGTGTTTTGAGCTCCAGAGTCGCTAAACATGCCTCGAACCGAACGTGGTACCCCATCAATGGATTCCTCGTTCGAAGAGCAATCCATTGGTGGGGTCGCACGTTCGGTTCGAGTCCCATTTAGCGACTCTAGAGCTCAAAACGCGTCTAGAGTTTTGGCCGCCTCCGCCGGTCTTCTGGCCCACTGTGCATCGCCAACCTGCCGGCAGGTTGCCTACTGCCTCGCCTCTCTCTCTCTCTCTCTCTCTCTCTCTCTCTCTCTCTCTCTCTCTCTCTCTCTCGCACCCCTTACGCAGCGCGCCACGAGTGCGAGAGAGACAGAGCGAACACTGGTCCGCGGGCGTTACGGGCTGCTCCATGCCACTCGTTGCGTGCCGCCCACGCCACGGCTCTAGCCACGGCGCGCCGGATGTGACATGGCAACCGCCGCGGCGCATGATCGGCATAGTGTCTTACATGAGCGGCCCGCCGATGGGGTGGGATAGGATAGGATACACTGGGGGCTCGGCCAGGCCACATCATTGGCCGCCGGAAGCAGCAAAGGGTTCCGACTTTTTCGATCCCCGGCCAATAACAGTATCCGCGTGCTGCCTGTGTGCGTGTATATGTGCGCGCGCGCGCGCGTGTGTGTGTGTGTGTGTGTGTGTGGTTTTTCTAACTGTACAGTGCATCACGCTGGACACGCGGCGTTATCGTGCCGGATAAACGCGTGCCCGGCCTAGCCGCGCACGGTCGTGACGCATGGCTGAAATACCTCCGTCGCTCTGTCTCTGTCGCACTCCTGGGGCGGGTCGGCGGGCCCTAGGGGTTCGATGCGAGAGCGAGAGAGACAGAGCGACGGAGCGGCAGCGGTTCCTCGATTCGTCGCTCCGTATCAGACGGTAAGTAGTCCTTCACTCACTTCACTGCGGGGCGCACGACCCGATCGACCACTCAAATGTGTGCCGGACAGTTACCACTGCACTGGCAGCGACGGCGAGGACACTGTGAGGAACGAATTTGGGGCCACCACTGGGGAAATTGGCGGCGTTGCGTTGCGTCACCGCGACAGCCAGGGTGCTTTACTTTCTTGGCCGCTCTCGCGTCAGGAAGTGGTTTGCTTCGAGTGCGCGCGTGTGTGAGTGTGTGTTGGTGTGAACCCACAACGCCCCGCTTCCCCGTGCCTTAAAATGCGTCGACACGCTGCGATTTCGCTCCGCGCTTCGCGCCACCGCAGCTTGGCAGCCCGGCACCGCGGAAACGCGGCTCGAGTCCAAAAGTCAACTCTCCGACTAGAAGTCCGACGCCTCCCGGCAGCAGAACTGGCTCATTTCACTGAGCGTCCGTCGCTCTGCCTGGAGCCCGAGAGCAGCCTCCGCTCGTACTCCGACGTACGATAAGTTGCCTACCCCCACGGCGCCTCTGCAGAGTCTTGCTTGTTCGGCTTCGGCAGCGCGCAGGGATGGGCTGAACATTTGAACGGCGACCAGGATGAGGGGAAAAGGAAAACTAGGGTCAGTTGGGGTAATTATGGGACACGGGGTAAAAATGGGACAGCTGATTCTTAGTCAAGATTTGACATTTTTGAACGCATGACAAACCAAATGTGATGTTTTTATAGAGAAAATAACATTTGCTACGGCACAAGTTCTAAAATCTCGATTCTCGACTAAGAATCAGCTGTCCCATTTTTACCCCGTGCCCCATAATTACCCTAACTGACCCTAGCTTGAGAGCTGACCGCTTTCCACACGGTTGGGGCCTCGGCAACCGCATACACGGGGTTAGAAAACGTGCCTTCTTTGAAGCAAGATTGCTTTCAGCCACCTCCTCAAAAATAATCGTCTTATGTTTTGAATGGTCCCAGTTGTTTGAAGAAAATGCGCAAAAATGCAGCAAAAAGGAAATGGTCTGACTATATTGACCAGGCTGCCACACAGCTCCCACTCCCAGGCGCGATCCCACGACTGCTCACCGCGAGGACTTTTGGCTGCTGGGTTACCCCTCTGGCCCGGTTCGCCCCTCGTTAGCCAACCTGGCCACCTCGGACTCCTCCAAGGTGCCCATATTGACGGCAAGCTTCGTGCGGACGCCCAGTCTACATGCCTCACTGTGCAGCAGGGCTCCCAGCCTCAAACCATCCTCATCTCCCGGCCTCCCAGTAGCAGGATTACAGGAGTGTGCCACGCTCCCAGCCGAAAGGAGGGAGTCCGAACTGGAAACACTACTTACCGGCCAGCCGCGGGTTCGATTCCACTCGTTGCCACGAGAAAAGGGCATTGCTGCCAACCGTACGCCTCCCGCATCTGCTATGAGAGGGCTGAGTGTCCACACTTGAAGCGGTTCCCTGGAGGTGAAAGAACACATGCACAAAATAAGACCTTGAACTCTTGAATATAGACCGTCCTGCGTCGTTGAATGCGAGAAGTGGTCATCATTTTTGGATGTGCAGTTGGCTATTCCGAAGTGGTCACCCTCCCCCTCCTCCCCCTGGCATCAGCTGGGCTGGTGTCGTATGTTTGTTTATGTTTTAACTCTTTTTATTAGTTTGATTAGAAATATCGGGTGTTCGTTATCTGAAACTATTAGTGTCGTAACCCTGTAGTCAACGGTCTTAGAAGATGTTTTTATCATCACTGCTCTCAATGCGTTCATCTACGATGAACATGATTTGAGAAGAAACTAACCTCGCCACTACTGTTGCTTTGTTTTCATTCTGCTATTACTTTTAAAATCCCTTTCTTCTTATTTTTGACCCTAAGCTAAAAATGGAACACTTAGTCGATGCTCATTACATAGCGTTGCCCTCGCAGGGCAACGTTTATTCGCTAACACCCCTTCTCCTCCCTAGTGGAGCTCATAAAATTATTTTATCCACCCTACGTCGTCGTGTTTTATCATTTCGTTACAATTTTACCAATGACTCTTCACGTTTAAAACCACTGCTCAGAGAAGTTCACTTTACATGTATACCAAGTAAGCTTCATAAATTGGTTTTTCTCAACCAAAATCAGTCTTATTTATTTATTAATTTTGTTTCTCCTTATTTAGATACTGCTGAAATAGTTTCCATCGATGCATTTAGCCGAGGACCCTCAGGGGAAGATTATGTCATAGGGATAACATTGGTCAAGGTAGTTAATGTTTTATTTCTTATATTATTTAAATCCTCATCATCACAATTCATTTTCATTATCCTTTCCTTTCCTGTTTAGTCCACTGATGGCAGCCTACCAGAGGCATATCTCAACATATACAGTGACCAAGATTGTGAAGGAGATGCCTTACGTAATTTAGACAAGCCATCTGCCCCAGATAACACCGCTCCGTTTACAACAGGTGGCAGCACTCCAGCACTTGACAACGCTGCCCAAAACTGCCGAATGGTAGAACTTGGATTCGTTCCTTATCAACTAGGTCATGCCAAGTTGCCTCACAAAAATGAAGTAAGTTTTGATTATTTAGTGAAAAGAGGATTGATATGCATGCATCATTCATTGTCTATCTATTTCAGAATGTGTGGATTTTGGGTGGTGGAGACTGTCGAGTTCATGTATTACAAGAGGATGCTGCTCAAAATTATGAAGAGGTTACAGCCGAGGGCATTTTCCCAGAATTAAAAGATATCCTCCCAAGCCCTCCACTTTGGACCAATATCTATTACAGGGAACAACAAAAAGAGTGAGCATAAATTTACTTAGGCTTAAAATAAGTGTGCTGAGATAAGTTGACTTTGTAAACTCGTGTTCATATTTGTTTCAGGCGAATGTGTGCAATTGGATGCGAATGCGGCTACCTCAGAGTGACCCAAACGTCCATCAATGGATCTGAGTGTCATATCTCTGCTAGTTGGGAAATGCAAATGCAGGGCCCCATCAGCTGTGTTCGTTTCTTCACCCTTCCCAATGAAATGAATTTCCAAACTCTACCAGACAGCAAAGGCAATCAATATTATATTAAATTTAAAAAAATTAGTGAATTCACTCACACTAATGTCAGCTTCTTTGTTTATTTACAGGGCAGTCCTCTCTGAACCTCCTTGTTGCTTGTGCTATTCAGCCCTCTCAAGTTTTTATGTGAGCCTTTTTTGGTCTTCTGCTGCTTTTTTCCCCTCAAAACCCAATGGCAGACGCATTTAAAGCCTTTTTTTTCTTTAGTTATGTCTAAAGTATTATTGAATTAATCATCTCTATTTGTGAAACCAGGAACGTTAACTTGCTGGGGCTGACAAATGGCATGGAGTTGCCGTCAAGTGCATCGAGCGATGCTGTGCTTTGTGGAATGACTGCTGATTTAGATCTTGATGGCTCAGTGGAAGTCTTGCTGGGCACGTATGGACGTCAGCTGCTAGTTTATAAGTGGGATTCAAATGCCTGGGATCTACGAGCAACGAGGACATTGTGTCATCCAGTTCATAGTTTGCATTATTTGGATGTTACTGGGGATGGAGTTCGTGAGCTGCTTATTCTCACCCCTAAGGGTCTTCATGTCTTCCAGGTAAAGTATTCACTTATCATCCTTCTGCATTTAGCAGGTGGCCACTCAGTTTAATGTATCCAATCTCCTCTCTCTCTTTTTTATATAAACAGCACCATTTAGAACATGTAGAGGACAGAATTGAGAGTTTTGTGAAAATGATGCTCAACAGTGCACCTGAGAAGAAGCTTAGTGAAAGTGAGGGCTGATGCCTCCATAGATTGTCTTAAACTGTGATACTATGGTTACCAGTGGTATGTGTAACAGAGACAAATTATTAAATCAAAGTTATTTTACAAGATACAATATTTTATTTACACTTGTCATAAAAGACACCATTACATGATGATGTTAAAAGTATAAATACTGTACAACCTGAAAACACTCAACTCACACAAATTTATTTATAAGGTAATCAATCACATTCACACAATTTTACAACCCATACATGTATTTATACATTTTTTAAAAAAGGGGGGATGTAATAGCAAAACAAAAACATTCGTCTAACAAAAAATTTATAATGGCTAAAAGATGATGAGCTGCATATAGAAAGCGAGCCCACCTTTCATTTGTTTCAATAAGGATCCAGTCTAGTTGCTACTCTCACAGTATAGATTTATTCACCAAATTTGTCAGCTTTGAAAACGAGCCATTACAAATTAAACTGAAAGCATAGTTTGAACAACTAAACCGACCTTCAACCCTAAACCATTGTATAAAAATAATGACCTCCTGTTCAATCTTAAGTGTAAAAACCCACAACAGCAAACATTGTCCATTCTTAAAATGTAATATGTTGGAAGACCTTATGTTGCTGCCTTCAATTTCCTAAGGATATTCATATCACAATCAACATGCAAAAATTAAAAAGAGATCATTAATACACTTTAAACCCTTTCAAACTAACACAGGATCAAACTTGTCTCCTGTAACAAATTTAGCTTTTAAAGTTGGTTACCACTTGTTTTGCAGCTCATACGACCATTGCAGCATCCATATGCTTCACCTACAGCACATAACTCCCAAGGAAAATGGGTGGGTGGCAAAATAGTGCAATTAGATTGTGGTATGAATTAAATTTACTTTCCTATAAATTTGATACTAAAATGCATTTCAAGCATGTGTGCTCAAAGTTTAAAGTTCCTGCAGCGGCAACAAGTAATTGTCTTGCAAATAGACTACAACAAAAATCATTTCATTTGGTGATTTAAAATATTTGCTTCAAAGTAAAATGTGTTAAATTTAAAAGACCCTTGAATTTCCTGGTATTTTCAATCCTGCTTCATTCACACAAAGATACAGCCTACTCAATTATATACAGATACGCAGCAGGGGAACCTAACATTGAGTAAACTACTGTCGTCTCAAAATGTGTGTTAAACAACACATTCAAAATAGACAAACAAAGAAAGTTGGTCATGCTTACTTAAGCAGCTAACAAGATGTCAGAACTAATGAACACACAACAAATACAAAACCCACACATAACTACCGAACCGGAACACTGTGAGACAAAGTAACAAGTTACTAGTAATTTGATGAGCTACAAACTCAGGAAATCACGGCAGAGATTAAAACCACTAGAAGTACTCAAGTTTCACAGCAACAGATTTAACCAGCAGTCAAGTGCACAGAAATTTTGCTGCTAGGAGACTGATAAACTGTTACTCTCAAATAATTGATTGCTCAGATTACATGGTTCTGGTCCATTAAAGACTGATCTGCATGCCTACTTCAACCTAGATTTTTCTATCCTCAATGGAAATAGAATAGGCATCCTAAAATGCATCTACCACCAGTACTCTCAGCACAAAAAAAAAAAAAAAAAGTTAACAAAGAAAATAAAAAATAGTCTTCAAGGCAAACGCCCCTATTTCATAACACAAAACAAGGGCCTCATCTCTTACCCAGAACATATTCATGAGCAAATTTAACAACTTCAAAGAGTACCAGCTTACATGACTTTGGTTGGTTCCCTGATCAAATACATTCAACAACACTTTAACATCAATGAATATCAGCCTTACAAGTGGAGGAGATAACTTTCGAAGCCTCCCAAAATTTAAGAGGAGAGTACGTACCATCAGTTCTTTTTATGACACAAAATATGGAGACTGATTTCCACTCGAATTCCATAATGAATGAGTGTTTTGACGAATCCATTCAAAATGACATGAGACACTAATTCACTAGCCAATGCCACAAAACAAACAAATCTCAGAGAATCTCCTTCCCTGATTAGTGAGCTACTCAAATCAGTACCATTACATACAGTGGTATTTCAATGTACATTGAATTATACATATCAATCACATAACAATTTCATTGGTGTACTTCAAGGGGAAATCATATTATCGCAGTTAATGAAAGTAGTAAAGCTGCATAAAGATAAAACATTCTGAATAAACAGTTCTGCAGCATATTCAAAAATTGTACACATACCCCAAAGCTAGTTGAAAATCATTGTACACTATTACTCCAAAAATACAGCACAATTTTAGCAAGAATTTCACTAGCCAGTCAAAAACAAATACATCGGTGCAAAGTACTGATAATTATTTCCACAGTCCAGATAGTCTTTAGAATTGCTTCAGAGGGAAAATGAATGTGCAGACTGTCCCATCACTCAACCAATTTCACAAACACTACTTGGAGAATGATATGTGACGGAACATGATATGTACAGCTAAGCTAGGAAGCAATTGTCAAAATTAAATACATAAAGACTATTATGGCTTATTTAAATATTTAAAAGAACGAAAACAAAATAGGTAGCTGGTTTAAGCATCTTGCAATTGCTTAATTAATAGCTCAAGGACTGATTGCATAAAAAAGGACCAATTTAATGTAATTAGTTTAATCGTCAAACTTTGCTTAACTCATTGCTTTTGTTTCAATGGCAAAGAATTCAGGCTCAAACAATTTGGAGTTTGTTAAAGGGAAGAAGCATGCACAAGTAAATTGTAATAACATATCTTACAACCTAAAGGGATAAAATTGTCCCAAATTTATTATCACTTTCAGTACTCTTTCCTGTGCATAAACTCTTTCTATATGTTAACGGAATCATGCTGAATTCTGAACATCACTCATTGATCATAGACAGGATAAGATCTCTGATAAGCTCATTAAAAATTCATTTTTCTTTGATGAAATAAAATTTACAGTACATGTAGTTAAAACAATTGTCCTAGAAATGCTATGCCCTAGCATTACAAAGTCATAGGACGGGACAGAAAGAACATTTTTTCAAACGCAAATGCTAATTAATTACAGTAAAATTTTAAAACCTCCTTCAATCAACATTGTCTTGAAATATGAGGCGGATATAGCCTGGAAAACCTTCTAATGGTGTTGCACAGAATGGGCAGAAAGATTCAAAAGCATTAGTACCATGGGGTATCATTACACTTGCCCAGTATCTGTAAAACAAATTGGTCAGATTAATATTAGTTACATTGTCCAAGAACTAATGACATGTGAGGAGTTCCATGAAACTTTGCACTTACTTAACCGTCTTCTCTGTAGCCATGTGCCCACAAGGATTGAAGGCGAAGAATATAGGGGGACCGGCATCAACATAAAATGCAGGCTCTATACCCATACATAACTTCTGCACTGGTCCAACCTACAAACAAAACAATGTTAATATTTTCATCACTAAAAAGGAAAGAAAGGAAGAGAATTAAAAAAAAAAAAAAGAAAGTTTAACTGGGAAACGAAACTGACCTTGTGACAAAGAGGACACGTTCTAGAATGAGAGTTCTTTTCATGGCCCCAATCATGGCTGCCTTGCACATGACCACAGTTTAAATAAACATATGGTTGTTGTTTGTCAGCACTACCATCTGGTCCAGTGTAGGACGATTTCCTAGGAATAACCAATGTATTTAACCCTACAGGGCAGACAGGTCGACCAGCATTTAGCTTGTCCACTAAATTCTCCAGGTAGTCTTTTGTCTGAAAAGAAGAATAGAACAAAGTGTCAAACATCGATATAAATACATGTGAAAATAAACGTGCAGTGTAACATTAACACTTACAGGGCTCTTTTCTAAACCCTCTGCCGATCTCCACAGCAAAGTGGCTCCGCACAGATCAATTAAAGTGCCGTCCTGGAGAACATTGGTCACCTCCTCCACCTGTGAAACGCAATCCTTCAAAATCAGTGTCCTTGCATATCTCCCCAAACTAAATAAACGATATTTCATAAAGCATCATACATGTAGTGTACTCACTGCGCGGCCTTTCTTTTGAGCAGATCGGCTTTCTCTAAGGGAGTAGATACCGCCACATACTGAGACCTCACGCCACACACCAGGTTCTGAATCGCCTCCACAAAATGAGCCTTGAGGGTGCATCAGGAGGATGCCGTTTGTTGTCAGGCCATCTATGTCACGACCTTCCTGCCATTTTGTTGCTTTTTCCTGTAACAAGATAAATTAGTGTTACATTAGCATGCAGCTGCATGTCTTAAAGATTAAAATAAGAAAACAGAAAAATGGTAAGTTACCCCTAGAAAAATATTTCTACTTGAGTCAAATCCGGCAGCATAGATACGAGCTACACTAGGATTTGCTCTCTCAGCAAGAATTCTACACGCAAATCGTGAGATGGTACTTTGTACAACCTTCCCACTATCCCCAGTTTTTTCTCCAGCAACAGTATCCACCACTACAAAATCAATGGGACTTTCAGAAGACCGTCCAATCTGTCAACCAAAATATGAAATATAAAAACAGGCAATAATACAAAAAAACATTGATAAAAATTAAAAGAGAAAATAGAAATAAAGACACAAAAGCAAACAACATTTACAGACCTGAAACATATCCGTTTCTTCATCGGGCATATACTCTACAATGATGGCTTGATTTCTAGATAGGGTGTACGAGATACTATGCTGTTGGCTGTCAAGGATGGCCTGGAAAGGTGCAAGAACACATTAACACACTGATTGACAAAGTCTCTGAGCTATCCACCCGAGATATTTGCTCTACCTGCGAGTTGTGCGGCGTCTTGACGACATAGTGCTTGGACCGCTTGACTCCGTTCGGGTCATGGCGTTTGTAGAGGACGTACTTGGAGCGCTTGCGCCCTCGGTCGCCCGGAGGCAGGAACCCGTTGTACCTGCGTCAAGGATCGAGACGGGGATGGGGGCATCCCGGGGGCACACCGTTAGACTCGTTGGTCGAGGGGCACAAGTCGGACGACGGAACCCAAACAGTGCCGTCGTCGCTCTGTCTCTCTCAACCCCATGGGCCATTGCGTGGGAGTGTGCAAGCGAGAGAGAGAGAGACGAAAGCGCTGTTCGGAGTCAAGTCACTACTTCACTACTCACCCTAGGATGACGAGCTCCCCGTACTTGACCCTCGTCGCCTTGTCCTTCTCGGTCGGCGACTCCTTGTCGTCCAGGATGGGCGACTCAGCGCCATCAGACCTGCAACACCAAAACACACGCACCGTCAGGACAGACGAAAATGAAGACGAACATCGGATATTCGAACCCGCGACCCTCGCCACAGAGGCACAGTCAGCGTCGTGTGCGATACGACGGACGGGCCAAGCATCCCAGCGCACAGCACGGGCACCTCTAGGGCCTCCAGGGCCTCCACGGCGGCGAGGAACCACGAAGAACGCAACGCGACGACGCAAGCCCTTGTTTGCTGCACGCTGCACGCGCTCACTGACAGACGTACACACCGGGGGCTGGTGCGGATCGTCATCATGACCGTGTCCAGTACTCCAGTACCCAGGACGACGACGACGACGCCAAACACGGACAAACGACGCAGAGGCCTTGGTCTGTCTCCGTGGAGCACCGAAACGCCAAACGCCGCCACCCGAAACTTGTTGCTAGTCTAAACCCGCGGTGGTCCGCCGCGCCCAACCCTGTTCAGACACGCACGCGGGGCCACCCCACCGCACCCACCGCACCCCGCGTCAGCTGCAGGCGCACCGGGTTCCTATGGCGACCCGCCCCGCCCCGCCCCGCCCCGCCGCGCCGCCACCCCCCGCGTGCAGGTCTGTGCAAGTCTGATAGTGGCGGCGCCTCCCCGCTCCCCGCCGCCGGCGTGCAGCGCAGGGGTTCCCCGGCCGGAACCCAGAGGACCAACACAGCGGCTGACCCGTAAGTGCGAGAGCGACAATCAGCCTGCCGTCTGATTCCAAGCACTGCTTTCGTCGCAGTGCTGTCTCTCTCGCACTCATGGGGCGGTCCGTAGGGGTGCGAGAGAGACAGAGCAACGAAGCAGTGTTCGGAATGAGGCGGCTGCAGACTGCGCGCCGTCGACATCATCGCCGAGGCCAAATCCGGCACTTGGAGCCTCAGCTTCCTTCCAGGCGGTGCAGGCACGCGTGTGCAGGCGGCCCGCGTGGCCTTGCACGTCGTTTAGCAGAGCACCCGCACCACCACCGCGACGATGGACTCGCCGATGGCGCCGGCGTCGCTCGGCCGTCACGCACAGCGACGCCGTGGCCGCCGTGGCGACGTCACGCCGGCGTCGTCACGTTAGACCGTCACGCGCGAGGGCGCCCGGCCCGGAGAGGCAGAGCAAGGCAGGGCAAGGCAGAGCCCCTCCACAGCCGAAGGCACGCCGCCACGCCGCGACGAACAAACGGAAAGACAGGCACAAAGCGCCAGAGGCTCGACGCTCCGTCTCCCTCGCACTCATGGGGCGGCCGGGCGGCCCTTCGGGGAGCGAGAGGGACAGAGCGACCAAACGACCGTAAGGAATCGCTCGGCTGGCTAAGGCCAAGGAGGCCCGCGACGACGCTGGCAGACGCAGGCCGCAGGCAGACGCCCTCCAAAGCGGCGGCGCAGCTAACCGCCTTCAAACTTTGCAAGGAAAAAACTGAAATAAAGGCACTCTGGGGATGACATCAGCAGCGCGGCGGGACCACGACGTCGCAGTGTCGTGGTTGGGGACTCGGGGGGCTCGACTCCGGGAGTCCGTTCGTCCGTTCACTCGCGGCGAGAACAGGGTAGAGACATCCAAATTCCATCATCTCGGGTCCTTGTCGACCCCCCGGCGAGGCCCGGCGAGGCGGTGGCCCCGAAATCCACCACTGGGGCCGGGGCCTTATCACAGGGCGGGAGGGGGTGCGGCAGCCAGCAGACTCAATCCGAAGTGCGCGTCTCGCTCCGTCCCTCGCGACGCGGCGTCGCGCAGGGGTGCGAGAGGGACAGAGCGACCAAGCCCCGTTCGGAGCCAGCCTGCAGGCAATCAAAGCCGAGTGGCAGCAAGGGGGTGTCGCGCTGTCGCGCTGTCGCGGGCTGTCTCGTCTCGTCTCGTCCGGCCAGCAACAGCAGCGGTGGCGGCTGCGCGTCGCGTCACCGCGCCAAGCGGCGGCAAGCGGCACGGGGGCGAGAATCGAGTGAGTTGGAAATCGATCGATGGACGGCTGCCTGCCTGCCTGGCTGCCTGCCTGGCAGCCCGTGGGCTCAGTCCGAACGGCGCTCTCTGTCTCTCTCGCACTCGCGGGGCGCCCCGCAGGGGATGACAGAGACAGAGAGGCGGCCCGGACCGAGACGACGCGACGCGGCGCGACGCGGCGGCCCGAAGAGAGCGCGGCCGCGGCGGCACCATTACAGCCAGCCGGAGGACCGTCGCTCTGTCTCTGTCGCACTCATGGGGCGTCCGTAAGGGTTCGAGAGAGACGGAGCGGCCAACCAATCCTCCGGCATCAGGCGGCTGCAGGGAAAACAGACCAAACGCGAAGAAAGGCTTCGTGTCGCCCGTCGCTAGCGGCGCTCCTGGGGCGGTAGGGGCACTTGTTGTTGTCCTGGCGGCCACTTCGGCGTCGCCGCCACGCCGCCGCTCCGCCCCAGGCCGCGACATTTTCGAATCGCCATTACCGCAAAATGGGGGCGCCGTTGACATTTTACACCCCGGCGAGGCACTTGGAGGCAAGGCGGCGCACCGAGCGGCAGGCCGATGGCGAGCAGGACTTCCGCGTCGCTGCGTCTCACAGTGGGCGGAGGCGGCCAAAACTCTAGACGCGTTTTGAGCTCCAGAGTCGCTAAATGGGACTCGAACCGAACGTGTGACCCCATCAATGGATAGCTCTCCGAACGAGGAATCCATTGGTGGGGTCACACGCTCGGTCCGAGTCCCATTTAGCGAGTCTGGAGCTCAAAACGCGTACAGACTTTCGGCCGCCGCCATCGGTCTTCCGGCCCACTGTGCGTCTCTCTCGCACTCGCGGGGCGCGGGCGAGACGGGGCGACGAAACCGAGCTGCAGCGAGCGAGACAAAGGCTTGCCTACGTGGCAGGGGCGCGGGGCGCGGGTCACTGGCCGCGGCGGGATCACGGGGACGCCTCGCCGCCACTGCCGTCCACCGTCATCGACGCCCTGTTCCCCGAGCTCCTCGACGACGGCCAAGGCAGGCCGAGGCAGGGCAAGGTGCCGGCAAGGTCACCGAGGCACGGCGCAAGTACAAGGCTCAGGGGTTTCCTTGCCTGCCGACGTCCTGGCGGCAAGGCCTGGCGGCGAGGCGCCGCAGCAGCGGGCGCAGGAGGGAAGCCGCGAAGAAGCCGTACCGGCCGGGCCGACGGGCCGACGGGCCGAGGGGCCCAAGGGAGGGGGGAAGGGGGGTACTCGTCGGCGAGTCAATGACTCGCGGGGCCCCGCGAGTGACGCGCGGCAGAGCCATGGCAGAGCGGCAGCGCCATCCATCCCCCCGTCCATCCAGCACGACGTCAACTCCAAAACTTCCTCGCCTCCAGGAGCTCAATCTCCCGCGAGCTGGCTGCGAGCGAGGCTGCGAGCGACCGGCAAGGAGGAACAAAAGATACATAGATATACCTGTATCCGGCGTACCCGCCTTCGCGCGCAGTACCCGTGCCTCCAGTGCCTCCCGTGCCCAACCGGCTCGGCTGGTACCGGATTGGGCCCGCTGCCGCCTCGGGGCCTCGGGGCTGGCTACGCCTGCTACGGCGTGGCTACGGCGTGGCTACGCTACGCGGCCAGGGGCGTAGCTCGGCGCTGTTGCCAGCGTGGCTAGCCACCGGGGCGGGCGTAGCGCCGCGTACCGCACCACGATAACGCCCTGCTGGGCCTTCTCACTGCTCAGCTGTGCCGAGGCGAGGCCGGGCGAGGCCCCCAAAAGGACGCCACGCCGCGTCCCGCTGCAGGGAGTCAGCACGCGCCAAGTCCATCTATCCATCTCTCTCGCACTCACAGGACGTCCTGTCCAGGTGCGAGAGAGACAGAGCGACGGCCACCCTGCAGGGAGTCGCAGTCGCAGCCCGGCGGGGGAGGCGAGGCGGGAAGGGGCCGCGGAACGGTGCTTCGTCTCTCTCGCTCGCGCCCCCCGCGGGACGGGACGCCGCGGGACTGCGAGAGAGGCACGGCGACGAAAGCCCCCGCGCGAAGCACGCGGTACGGTACGCCACGGCCGGCACACTGAGAGTCGTTCTCGTCGCACCGTCTCTCTCGCACTCATGGAGCGTCCCGTAGGGGTGCGAGAGAGACAGAGCGACGAAAACGACTCTCGGAGTCAGTCTGCAGGCCCAGGCCAGGCGGCGCAATGGCGCAGTGCACCGCGCAGCGCACCTGTGCCGGTGGCGGCGCAGCTGCGCAGCTGGCGGAGGCGGCCAGTGTCAAGAGCTGCAGGCTGCAGCGGACTCGTGAGTGCGAGAGAGACAGAGCCGGCAGCCACAACAGGTGCGGCGCAGCCTGCACCAGCCCACACCACAAATTTACACAGCGAGGCGGCATGGCGATACCATCCTGATATCCCGCGGGCGAGGCGCGAGGCGCGAGGCGCGAGGCGCGAGGCGCGAGGCGCGAGGCGCGAGGCGACGACAACGGCGGGCCGCCGCTATCGAACAAAGCCACCGGCTGGCCGGCCAGGGTCGCTGTGTCTGTCCCTCTCGTGCGCGGCGAGCCGCGGGGGTGCGGAATCGCCGTCCAGGCAGAGGAGCGGTCCGCCAATTAGATGAATGGGCGACGCCGCGACGCACCGTGGGCCAGAAGACCGGAGGAGGCGGCCTAAACTCCAGACGCGTTTTGAGCTCCAGAGTCGCTAAACAGGACTCGAACCGAACGTGTGACCCCACCAATGGATTGCTCTCCGAACGAGGAATCCATTGGTGGGGTCACACATTCGGTTCGAGTCCCATTTAGCGACTCTGGAGCTCAAAACGCGTCGAGACTTTTGGCCGCCTCCACCGGTCTTCTGGCCCACTGTGCGACGTCGCGCTGCAGTCCGCCTCCGTCCCTCTGGCACCCCCGCGGGACGCTCCGTGCGTGCGACAGAGACAGACCGCAGCCTGCAGTGCAGTGCGTGCCGAGGAAAAACACCAAACGGGCGCCGCTGCACCGCGATAAGAGCGGCCGGCGAGGAGGAAGGCGAGGCCGCCTCCTCAATGCTCGACATGATAGTGAAATGAAACGGCGCGCCGCGGGGCAGACCCCGCCCCGCCCCGCCCCGC